TGCCATAAGGCAGGCATTAAGGCATAAATTATTCAGACTCGTCATGTTAGAGCTTACAAAATATTTACATTTAATTTACAAAATATTTAAACTGCCTCCGTGGCCGAACGGTTATCGTGCCGGATTGCCACGCAGAGATCTCAGGTTCGATTCCCGGGTCGGGAGAAATAGTTGTATGGCCTACATTTCGCACCCTTAGTAATATAAGGGCACAATCCAAAAAAAGTAGATTTTTGGGAAATCGCGTATTAAGATTCTGGATTCCTACATTACACCTATTTTTTCAAATAACATTCTTATTATTTAAGTTATAAATATGAAATTTGGCAGATTTGTTTATTTAAGTTATAAATATGAAATTTGGCAGATTTGTTCTTTGATAAATGTATTATAAATAGCAATAAAAAAAAAAAATATATAAATAAATTCCATAAGTTTCAAGCAAGTTAAAAAAACACTTTCAAGTTAGACCCATATAGTACAAAAAATATAACAGAAATATGGAGCTATATAAGTTTGATCCCATTTATTATTTAAGTCCCTATCAATTCCCAAATTTCCCAAAAATCTACTTTTTTTGGATTGTGCCCTTATATTACTAAGGGTGCGATTTATTTATCTCGTAAGCTTGGGTGTAATTTGTGGTTGTCTGTGTGTGTCCATGGCACCCGCGACACAGGGTTTCTTGTGCGGGGCTATGTTGAGTGTGTGCGTTATTATTAGTTTAATTAGGACGAGATTTCACATATTTATTTATAGTCTTATTTTGTGAATTAATTTTGCTATATATTTTGTATGTATTAGTGTGTCATCATTTACTTAATATTATATATTCGTGTATACATTTATTCTTGTAATTATTGAGTATGTAGCATTCAATTTCATGATTTTTTTAGATTTTATTGCCGGCTTAGGAGCCAACTTTCCTTTTAATTATTCAAAGGTTAGCTGGAAGAAATCCATTTATGGGATAAGCTCGCCTTTGTACAATAACGTTTTATTTCTTTATTAATTTGTTTTGTTGTACAATAAAGTGTTTACATACATACATTAATAAATTTCGAACAGAAGTAAACATGCACTTCTATCTCGTGCTCTCATCTCTCTTCTCTCTTGTGACGTTTGTTACGAGAGCCCTCTGAGAGATTTATCTTTTATGTTTGACAGATTTTCGGTTTTGCTAAATTCTCCTTTTAAGCTGGCAGTTGATTGCGGGGTAACATAATGGATAAGTGTCGTTTAACCTATACCCTGCCTAGGAAGTATAACTTATAATTATAACACTGCTATAGCTAAGATGCAGCTAATGAACTTACTGTAAATAGCTATATTTTCTTTATTGTACAACATTTGCACGGTGAAACCAAAATGACGTCACGAAAAAGTAAGCGAAATAATTAACATTCGGAAAATGGCCATTAACCCACTTACTCCTACCAGGTGTTATAACACCTCTAAAAATGACTTCCATATACCCGCAAATAAAATTGATAAAAATTGATCGGTCGTTACTTTTCTTTGTTTTGCGCGTTCAGTACATATCAAGCAGTGATTGAATGTGTATAATATCGCAATTTTATTGCATCTTATAATTTTTTTCCGAGTTTGTATTCTGATAATTAATTTTTGTGTAAACATGTCTTCGAAAAGGTAAGTTATTTCATAAATTTGTTTATAAAGCGTTATATTTTTGCTGTTATTCTATAAGATATAACTATTAGGCACAATGTTATTTACTGATGTTCTGGCAAAATTGCAAATGTTTGTGACTTTTTTATGATCAATTGCAATCGGTGTTATAACACCTGGTCGTATAATCCACGTCTAACTTGTATGTTTATGAACATTTTAGGCCACAGCATAAAAAAATCCTGAAACTCCACGAAATCATAGAGGAATTGGAAAACGCTGACGATGATGTACCTATACCAAGTTCCATAGTGATTTTACCACCGGAAAACGCCAATGCGGATGTAACGGATGAAGATTCGGGTGAAGAAGATGACGTTACACTACACAATCTTCCAGGTTTGTGTTAAAATGTGTCACAGTATTTTTAAGTCTATCTGCAAGTGAGTTTCTATTGTTGTTTTATTATGAAATCGTAGAATATATAATTTTGTGCATTTTCAGGTTCGCATCTTAGAGCTGAGGCAAAGAGCCAATACGATGAACCGTCTTCTGATGAAGAGGATCATATACCACTATCTGAGTTTGCCAAACTAAGACGTACTGAATGTAGTGATTTCCCGAACACAGATAGTTCGTCTGTCATGGACGTATCGCAATCACGGTACAATATAGTACAACCTACTGTACGAAAGGATCAAAAATATAATTGGCGAAATTGGCACACTCCAAGAGATTATGAAAGATGGGGCGACGACCAGGGTCCACGAAATTTACAACCCCCCATGTACTATTTGGAAGTTATGCTTGATGAAAGTTTCTTCGAACTACTAGTGCATTATACAAATCTTTACGCGGGTCAAAAGAATAAAACGGGCAATATTATTACTAGCGAAATGAAATGCTTTGTAGGCATACTTTTTTTGAGCGGTTATGTGGTGTTGCCTCGACGATCTATGTATTGGGAAAAGTCGGCAGATTCTGATTTTTCTCTTGTTTACAATGCGATTTCTAGAGACCGCTTTACTTTTATAATGTCGCATTTGCATTGTTGTGACAATACACAGATTTGTATTTCAAATGACAAGTTTTTTAAGTTGCGACCTCTAATTGATCTGCTAAACAAAAAGTTCTTGGAAATGGCTCCTTTGGAAGAAAACTACAGCATCGACGAGGCTATGGTGCCATATTATGGCGGTCACAGCTGCAAACAATTCATACGCGGAAAACCTATACGGTGGGGATACAAACTTTGGGTTGGTGCAACCAGACTGGGATATGTGTTATGGTTTGATCCGTACCAAGGGCACTCAACTACTTTGCCCCTACCATATAAGCAGTTTGGGCTGGGAGGAAGTGTGATTTTGCAGTTCGCCGATGTGCTCCAATCACATCGACCAAATCTGCATTTTCATTTATATTTTGATAATTTCTTCACGTCAATTCCTCTTCTTCATGAATTGAGCATTAGAAAATTAAAGGCAACTGGTACTATCCGGGAAAACAGAACGTCTAAGTGTCCTCTGCCTGCTAATAATATCTTCAAAAAGACTCAGCGGGGAACCTTCGAATTCAAATCAAGTAGACCAAACAACATCTTGGTGTGTAAATGGAACGACAACAGTGTAGTCACTGTTACTTCTAATGTAGAAAATGTGGAACCATTACACAAAGTAAAACGTTTTTCACAAGAACTTAAAAAGTATATACATATTGATCAGCCTTTTTTGATTAAAAAATATAATGAGAACATGGGGGGCGTTGATAGGTCTGATCAAAATATCGGGCTTTATCGTACATCCATTCGTGGTAAGAAGTGGTACTTTCCTCTCATCTGTCACTGCTTTGATATGGCATTGCACAACGCGTGGCAACTGTATAAATACAATGGAGGCCAGTACGATCATCTAACTTTTCGTAGAGTGGTGGCAAGAGGTTTATTAGAAACTAATAAGAAAAGCGAAAAACGGGGACCATGCCCCACTCCGAACAATTACAGAGAAAGTTCTAGATATGACAAAATAGACCATTTGGTTGAATACAAAGACATACAGCTGACGTGTAAAGTTTGCAAGAAGAAAACTAATTTTATACGTAAAAAATGTACCACATATTTACATCCGAAGCTGTGTTTTATGTCGTACCATACCCGTGCATAATTATTTTTTTTGTAATTTTGGATTAAATGATCGAACACCGAAATTCTGTTTCAATTTAAAACCTTTTCAATATATATTGCAATAGTATATGATAATAGTAGTAGATTCTCCGACCAGGTGTTATAACACCGCATGTTTCCCGGCTTTTCCGGGCGACCTAAAATTTTTTCAACATTTTTCTGCAGACACTTGCCCTTCATATAAAAACATACTGAAAAATTATAAAAATTCATGATGTCAATTAGTTTCAGGAGTATCTGGGTTAAGGGTTTTGAAATCTCGCAACATTTTCCTTTAGTCCCTGTTTTGGTTTCAACGTGTGATATATACAAATGGTAACCTACGTTGAAGACAGTACCAATAGTGTAACAAAATAAAATAGTAACAATTTATGCTTTAACAAGTCTTGTTTCACTATTGTCGTATATTGAATAGTAAAATTTTATGGCTCTGTAAGCCTTACAATACATCCGACAATAAACCCTGGCAAATATACAGTACTCATATTATAATCCTACAGCGGAACGAGTCGCGCCTAAAAATCCCTCATCCGACTGATGCGATCCTGGTACAATTGAAAATCTATTATTGGGCTCTGCGTGCGTATGTGTTCAATCCAGCCGTGGTGATAATAGTTTCACCGCGTATTATGGCCGGCCCGATTGTTCGGCGTCGGTTATGCTCCGCAGAGTCCATTAAATACGGCTATGTTTGGCTTTTGTTTTTATATATATTCTAATGTTTAGTCTGTATTAGGTACTTGAAAGTAATTGGTATATTAATTTTCATTTATTTTCCTTAATAAGTTTACCAACTAATTACATACAGATACAATACATGAACTAGTACTACTATACATGCATTTCAAGTAAAGGTATAGTAAGCACGAGAGTATGGCCGGTCGGTCTATACATGTATAACTAGATCAAATCCAATTCACATTCAACAATTTGTATACCTACAAATAGCAAAAACGAATAATATTGAATAGTGTACCTTGTGTCTAAGCGTCAGCTGATCAGACACCGTATTTTTGTAGCTTTTCATCGTCAGCATCAACACGTTATACATCTTAAAACTGAGTACGTGTCTCCTTTAAGGGGAGAATTTTTCTCATCACGTTGTTTTCCTTTACCGTTAGCAAGAGGTATTGGTACTAAATAGTATTCTAACTGTGCTAGCACCGCTCTTTGTACGATCGCGAATATGTTTATGTTTTTCACGGCTCGTACACACTATGTTGACCGACTTGCCGGATCTGCCGCACATCAGCCTCGGTGCCGCACGCTACGGCAGTTCTCGCCCGGTATTCGTACCCGTTGCCACAGTCGCGCGGTGCGATGAAAACGTGCTCCGCGGCATTCGCGGTGGAAACTGCCTTCCGTTGGCGGCAGTCTGTTGGAACCATTAGTCATATGTAAAGTGTTCACTTTTGCTGTGTGTAATTGTATAAATACTATTTACTACATTTTGTCCGCGTTTTGTTCACGTTTGCGATCGGAAAAACCCTATGCGCTGAACCATATTACAAAAATATGGACAATTATTCGTTGAGTACCTTTATTGATATGCTATGATGCCTAACATTAACGAAGCTTACTGTCACATATGAATATTGCGTAAACACATATTTGGGTTGGTGTTTATCGTGGTGTGGCCCAACAATTTTGTAGACTTAGTGCGTGGCTTTGGGTACTAAGAAAGGTTCATCGCAGTGCGTATATTCGTTTCACGGGAAAAGCAATACAAATAAGTGTTGTGGGCGTGACAAATAATACTTAGAGGCAGAATTATCCTGTCAAAAAAAGAAATGAAATATGAGTGTAGGTGCCTGAAAATTGTTATTTATTTAAATCTTTCTCAGAGTGTAACTCTTAATATCAACATTGAAAATTCATTCTTTAAAAAAATAACTCGGCAAAGTCGAAAAGCCCTAAAGTCTGAAATCAGACATCGCCAAGTCACCCAAGTTTCGTCACTAGTTAACAGGCTAAGCACTAGGCAGGAGTTAGCCAGCACCTATGTACTTAAACTTAGACTCAGCCCGCGATAGTTGTGCTGGTGTACGACTATCCTGCTATTCGGGTATGTGTAAACAATTGGTACTTGTATTAATGCGATTCGTGTATTTACATCGAGGCTCGTGTGCCTATAGTATGAAAGTGATCCCTGCCTAGCAGTGGGACGTGTTATGGCTTAGTATAGTACTAATATGATCCTTTAGCCTAGAACTCGTAAATATTTACATTTCAAATTTTGATATGAAAATAAATGGATATAAAATATGCAACATTATCACACAAATCACTTGGTCCTGGGACCAAGGGACCTTGAGAATCGGACCTGCACTTAATCAAAGTAATATAGTACAGGAGTATCACCCGTACAGAACACACATAACTGTGCTTACTCTACGTCAATTCATAATTGTTCACTGCTGATCATACCCAAAATTGGTGATTTTGTCATAATTTCATAGAATACCGTCTTGCAACTGAGTGTGTAAATTTAAATTGTGACGGAACTGACACATCTATTGAATATAATAAACATAAATTATCGTTTATATTTATATCCCCGTGGTGAAAATTGTTCGCCCTAAATCCGATTTACAAATCCATTTTTCTTTATTTGCCTCCGTTTGTATAATATCCATCATATCTTGTTACGTGTTATGACGTAAGAAACAAAGCAAATCGCGATGACGTAACAGGAACACATTTGTATTCAGAACACAATATAGACAACTATTGTACATACGATATTATGTAGATAAGTGTTGAGCAGTGTAGTGTAATCACTGAAACACGTTAACGTCGAAGACTTGATATTTACTTCTCTCTCTACAACTGACTTACGTTTGGTGTAAGTAAAATAATATAGCGTATTATTTATTCATTTAAATATGGTACAATCACAGACACACAAGTCACATTTGCTTACAATAACATTTTACAACCCTTTGCAACTGCTATCCATTTACAAGTGTACACAACTTATGCAGTAAAAAATTATACACATTTGATTAATTACGAGAAAGTCAAAAATAAAATTAATTGCCGCCAAGTAGTAATTAGGGCATTACTGTGTTTAAGTTTTGAAAGGTAAGGGTTACTGGTGAAACAACAGGCATATGGGACTGGTCAACTAAGGGCGCGTTCAAATTAGACGCTGTTAGCCGCGCTGCAGCAGTGCTGCTGAATATGTCTCAGGGCGACGGTCGCAGCGGCTCCTCGGATCTTTGCGATTGAGGTGTCACTCGCAAATGTCATGAACAGGCTTGTCGCTTACCAGCAGGCGCTCGACTTGTTCGTCCCTTCCTTGGCATCATGAAAAAAAATTTTGTAATTATTTAGTTTGACAACCGAACGCGTGCATCTTATTCCCATTCAAGAAGTGGATGACGTTTGCGCTTATAACTGCCATCTCGAAGAGAAATGGAGAAAAAAACGTGATGGTAATGGCGAAGATATTATTCGCAAAATGTTGCACTTTATCCAACTGAATATTAACCTCCTTAAGGGGCAGTCGAGTAAAAAACGCAATGTCGCTACAAAAAGGAACCATTGTCCTAAAAGGAATCTTCTACCTTAAAATAATTTTATTGTCTGTATTTAGAAATTTCTTGCATTTGGAGATTATAAAAGCAAGTCAAAGCTTTGCAGAAAACAGAATGAAGTTATCGAGTTCTTAGGTTTGCGCGATTGTTACACATAGGAAATGAAACCATTTTTCCGGATTTAAATCGCGTATATTTGTTTATTCAAACAAACCGGCATTTCGGGCCCTTTACAGGTCTCATCGTCACAGTCAACCGTGTTTGTTTTTTCAACCGTCGGTTCCAAAATGAAGTTTGTTAAGAAATATCTTCTAAATCCGGTATTAAATGTGTATCAGCTCAGATGTCGCTTAAACCTCGAGTTGCAATTCACCCCTTTGTTATATAATATATCATGCGGTGATATGTATTATATTACCGCCACCTTGTATGTTACCGTCTCGATTGACCAAGACCCTCAAAACTAGATTGATTAGGACTTCACAACCATCTTGAGCCGTAGCTCAAGAACCGAATGACGTTAAATAAACGGAATTTTGATGTCTATGAAATTATGAAATATCAACGGACAAGTAATCGTTGTTGTGTACTTAAGTGGAAATAAAGAATGTTAGTAGACTTATGTAAGTACTAAGTTGCACCAG